CCATGTCTCGTGTCCATAGAGGACCACCGGTCTTATTAGCGTTCAAGCTAAACGAATTCCTCCACTACCTCGAAAGTATCTCCGTCTATCGTGACATTACTTCCTAGACGAATCCTGTCATGTTCGGTTCCGCCTACTAGCATGTGCTTTGATTTTGACGCACTCACTACCAGTCCGACCTTTGCTGCTTCGTGTTTCAGGCGGGTGTATACTTCTGCCACCGTTCCAAATGTTCTTGCGATAATGTCCATGTCGTCCGCAAAGCACACAAATTGACCGAATTTTGTAAAAATCGTACCCCGGCTGTTGAGCCCGGCTCGTCGCATTACACCTTCTAGAGCGATGTTGAAGAGTAGGCATGAGAGTCCGTCACCTTGTCGCAGTCCCCGGCGAGATTCGAATGAACTGGATAGTTCACCCGAAACCCTTACGCAGTTTTGCACACCGTCCATCGTTGCTTTGATCAGTCTGATCAGCTTCCCAGGAAAGCCGTTCTCGTCCATGATTTTCCATAGCTCTGTGTGGTCGATACTGTCGTATGCCGCCTTAAAGTCGATGAACAAATGATGCGTTGGGACCTGGTATTCACGGCATTTCTGGAGGATTTGCCGTACGGTGAAGATCTGGTCCGTTGTCGATCGGCTGTCAATGAAGCCGGCTTGATAACTTCCCACGAACTCGGTCATTTTAGGTGATAGACGACGGAAGATGATCTGGGATAAAACTTTGTAGGCGGCATTCAAAATGGTGATGACTCTGAAGTTCTCACATTCCAAATGGTCGTCTTTCTTGTGAATGTGGCAGATTACCCCCTCCTTCCACTCCTCCGGTAGTTTTTCTGTTTCCCAGATCCTGACTATCATCCGGCCAACTTTTCTGGGCCCATCTTGATGAGTTCGACTGCGATACCATCCTTACCAGCTGCTTTGTTGTTTTTGAGCTGCTGAATGGCATCCTTAACTTCCCTCAGCGTGGAAGTTGGGTCAGTTCCGTCCTCTGCTGCACTGACGTAGTCGTTTCCTCCATTGCGCTGGTCTCCCGTGCCTACGTGCGCCTCGCCATTCAGGTGCGCATCGAAGTGCTGCTTCCACCTTTCAATCACCTCACGTCCGTCCGTCAAGAGGCTCCCGTCCTTATCCTTGCACATTTCGGCGCGCGGCACGAAGCCGTTGCGGGATGCGTTGCGCTTCTGGTAGAACTTCCGTGTTTCTTGGGAATGGCACAGCAGTTCCATTTCCTCGCACTCCGCTTCTTCCAGGCGGCGTTTTTTCTCCCGAAAGATGCGGGTCTGCTGTTTCCGCTTCTGTTTATATCGTTCCACGTTCTGTCGGGTTCAATTGCTGCAGCATTACCGCCCGCGCTGCGTTCTTCTCCTCCAAAATCGCTCTGCACTCCTCGTCGAACCATTAATTCTACAGAACCCTTTGGTTTGTTTTTTTTCCGTCGATCTTGTTTTCCGTGCTGAGCTCCAATGCTACCGACGTGCCAGGAAGGCAGCTCCCACACCCAGGCATGGAAAATCATTTACAATCATTTCGTGCATTCATTTACATTCATTTGCCTCTAACTTTTTTCCTGAACAGCATTCCGCAAATTGGTGTATCAAACTTTTGTAGGTTTTGTTATTAGCTACAACTTTTGTTAACAAGTCAAATTCGTATCTCTTATGCACGACGAACCAGAGCGAACAGAAGCCACTACTGTTTTTCAGTGAATGTATTTTACATTCACTGCAAAACAGTAACAAGTTCTGCCCGCTCTAGTTCGTGATGCATAAGAGATACAGATTTTATAAATAACCAAAAGTTGTAGCTAATAACAAAACCTACAAAAGCTCTATACATCATTTTGCGGAATGCTGTTGATGAAAAAAGTTAGAGGCAAATGAATGTAAATGAATGTATGAAATGAATGCAAATGATTTTCCATGCCTGCCCACACCTGGACCCTACCTATCGACACATCAACTCATGAACCGGGGACCAACGGCTTTACTTCCCATCCGAAGGAAGGCGTGATCATAAATGTTATGCCTCAGAACATCCCGGCGGCGCCGACTGGGATTGAACCCAGGCCTGTTGGGGTGAGAGGTAATCACGCTTACCACTACACCACCGGCGCCGTTATTACAGAACCCTCATAAAACCAAAATTGTTGCTTGGGACACCAAGTAATTCAATGTTTTGGTTGAATAAATTCTCCAGTACAAAGCCTGAACAAAAGTTATTATTAAAAAAAAAAAATACCAATCAAGCTGAACATTGCATTAGGACCTATATAACATTTATCGATTCCCTTCATTGACTTTCTCTTACGTTAATGACTTGAGCACATAACCGTTTCTTTTTGTGTCTGTCGTATTAGAAGCTAGATAAATGCTTCTTTTATCGACCTGTGTGCTGAAAATACCTGGGAATGTCTTTACATGGTCGTGAGGATCAGCGTTTCCAGAATGTTTTAAAGCTTCTCGGTATCAAAGGTTTTGAAAATTCATATTTATCGGTATTTACTATTTTAATTAATTTTATATTTTTGCCGTTTCTAAAAGCGAAAATTTTAACTTATGGACTGTGATCGGAAAATTCTGGAAGAAAACTCAGGGAAATGTTTGAATTAGCTTCTGTAGGAAGCTGAAACCAACATCCAGAGAAAGAAAAAAGAAGCTCTCCTGGAGGAAGTTTGAGTAAAGTTTTGAGAGAAGTTGGAAAAATATCCGCGGAACTTCCAAGACATAAATTGAGAATCTTCTGGCAAAAATTTAAAAAAAAATCAGAGAAAAAAATCGAATTTCAAATTTAAAGGAAATCAGAAGTAAATTCCAGAAGTAGCCATTTTCAGGGAAAGCCAGAAGAAGCTTGGAAAAACCTTCCAATAGAAGTTAAAAAAAGCAACTGGACAAAATTCCAGAACTTGACGAAAGAAATTTCTGGGAGAAGTTTAATTGAACTTCCTTGAGAAGACGGAAGAAACATCCTGGAGACGCTGGCAGAAACTTCCTAAAGAAGATTGGAAAAAAAAAATTCTGGAGGAAGTTGGAAGTCAGAGCGCTAACGACCCAAGTCCAAGTCCGGAAGAAAGAGCTCTTGGGGTTGTTCTAATGATCCAGAAAATTTTCCAAATGGTCATAAAACATCCCTGATCCACATCTTGGGTGGTTTTGCTCCTCCGTTTTTGACAACATGAGAAAAGGAGACAAACTAGTCACAAGTAGGTAAAAGTGAACTGGCGGTTGGGTACATTTTTCTTACCGTGTAGACTTGGCTCCACTCTTTGCGTGACTCATTATACACCGACTCTAGATTAGACTATCCAATGTGTGAGGTTGAAGGACTGAAAGTCCAAAATTGTACGTGATTTGTTATCATAATTCCCCCGCTCACGAAGGTTTTAAGTTTCGAGAAGCCTTATTAAGACGGCCTACCGATAACTACCGATAAAAGTTTTGAGAAGCTACCGATAATAAAAAAAATAATCTGGCCACCCTGCATACCTCGCATAAATGGTTCCAAACGACAACAAAGCCATAAGCAACGATGGAATCTAATTCACATATGGAAAATCAATGAGCGTTAACAGGTGAGGCCTGGTAATTTTGTCGTCTCTTTCGTTCTCCGGCTGATTAAATGGATGACAGAGTTTGACGTCACACTCCTTCAACTGTTTAAAAAGTGGGAGAACGAAAGAGATGACACATTCACTGAGTCTTACATATTTATTTACGTCTCATTGACGGCTGTTCAGAAGACCGATTTGATAGTACATCCGGCCCCTGGTATTTTTATTCTAAAAGTATCGTAATTTATGCTGTCTGGTTCAACCGGACATAAAATACTGTCCCTTTCTTCCTCATCAGTTCATACGAGATAAATGAAAATGACGTCAACAATGTGGTTACGTGTAAATGATAAGGAGTGAAAAAGAAGCGCGATTTAACGTGCAGGACCGTTGTAGATCGAGACTCATCTTCGATATGACGAAGTTGCATCCATTTATTGACCCAATTTGAGTACAGTAGACCGACATTACATCCACTCCATAGTCGATTGCTGAATTTATGTATGGGCCCAAATTAGGGGCATTTAGGCCGACATTACATCCATTTCCCCTAATAAGACTATCTCAACTTGCATTTCAACATTGAAATATCGACTACAGCTCAATTATTTCATAAAATACGGCATGGAATGAAATTGAAGCACTGACGAACCGACATGCCACAGGAGTTCCTCGTTTGTCCCCAATTCAATTTGTCAAACGAGCGATTCAAACTGTCAAACGAGCGATCAGATCTTTCAAACGAAGTGAGACGCAAACCAAGGCAAAATAAATTCTACGTGTGTTCGTGTACTTGCGATGAAGCGATCGGATGAGTAGATGGCGGTAGTGTTTAACATATTTTGAATACGGCGTCTTGGACAAGAATTTGAATGTAGCTTGTTTGAGCTGTCACGTCGGTTCGTCGGTGATTGAAGGCTTTGTATTAGACCGAGGTATTTATGTCATACAATACGATGATCAATTTCAAAACGCATTGCTGTAGATTTCATTTATAAATAATGTGATCCTTCTTGATAATTTCTTGACAGTAACAATTAATACCCCGTACAGACTTTGGCTTATATCATGTAATATAGGCTGTCTTGCAATGAGCACTTATTCATCTAGTGTTCACTGGAAATCCTATGTATGAGTGCTCATTGCAGGACAACCTATATTACATGATATAAGCCATAGTCTGTCCAGGGTATAAGCCAATCATGTTTCACCAAGGATTCTAACTGATAAAAAGATGTGAGTGTAAAACGGAAACATATTGTAGACTTTGAGTAATTCCGTCGGGGATCTTTTCATGTTGGACAACATTTTAAGGAAATTGTTTACTTTTGTAGGTGAGCGTGGGGAGTTATGCTCTTCGCCGGATACTCCTATGAAGATGCGTTGTAAATGCCTAATTTGCCAAAATATAAAATACAAACAATCAATTTTGCTTTTAATTGCAGTTGCTGTTGAATACGCATCGCCAAATATGTATGGTAGGTACGTTTGTCTGATGGTATGGACAATTTTCAGTTAAGATTTATTTCCTCACCAAAGTGTGGACGCTCTTTGAAAAACTCATGTTAATTTCGGTGTTCAGTTTTTGCCCAGCTACGCAAAGCGAATACCGTGGTGAACCGAAATCCTTACACCTATGAAATAAATCCAAATCACTCAGGTAAAAATTTTCTGCTGTTTAAACGTTCATGCAGCATTTTTTTTTCTAACCTTATACCCCGTTCACATTACAGCCTATATCACGTAATATAGGCTGTCTTGCAATGAGCACTCATACATAGGATTTCCAGTGAAAACTAGATGTATGAGTGCTCATTGCAAGACAGCGTATATCACGTAGTCTGAACAAATGTTATACTTTATAAATGAAAGCCTTTATTCAGCCAATAAACATTTAAATTTGGTGATTTTATCAAGCTTCACGCTTATTAGTGGCTCTATATGAAGCTGAAAATAAGTTTAACAAAGACTTCTTCGCGTTTTTATTTATTTATTTGCTTCTTAAGTTATGTGAAGAAGTGTTTGTTAAGCTCATAATCAGCATGTTTCTATCTATAAACAAGCAATGTTGCTAATTATATTTTTAGAACATGAAATAGTTTTTTAAAGCTTTTATAATCTCTTGATCAGCATTATATTAACCTTCAGCAATTAAATAATATAAATAACAAATAAATCAATATAAATAGTGTTCTGAATGCACAATAGTTAACATTGAATGTTCATTAGATTGTTTTGCCAATGAACACCAATTTATAAACAAACATTACCTGTCTGCTAAGGGAATAGAACATCTGCCCTCCGGTTTCATAGCTGCTCACTGTATAATCTGGTCCATCTGCAACTTCGTAATCGTCGGTGAAAAATAACGCGGCACATGAAGTCAAAAGCTTTCAACGTAATAGCTGCTTTAACGTTGTACGCAAGTGGAACAAAATTATGTCGAGGAGGCTGGGGGCCATCGGACCAATTACGCTAAATTTGGACCGGTAAATCAGATGATGACTGTTTATAATTATCATTGTGAAATGGTTGACCTAAATATGCCCTCAACAGTAACAATATTTCAGAACCCTGCAAAGTCATAGAACATAAGTCCTAATGTTAATATGTAGTCTACGATTTGATTGATTGACGAATAAATAAATAAATAAATAGATACTAAAAATTGCCGCCTACCTAACATAACTGGTTCCAAACGACAACAAAGCCGTAAGCAACGATGGATTGTTTATGTTTGGAACCAAATTCACATATGGAAAATCAGTGAGCGTAAACAGGTGAGGCCCAGTCAATTTATCGTCTCTTTCGTTATCTGGCTGATTAAATGGATGACCGAGTTTGACGTCACACTCCTTCAAACGTTTAAGGCTGTGAACCATTTGCCGAGTTAAATTTAACTTTTGGTTAAAAGTGACATTTCGAAAGTTATTTTCTATGTTCAAAAATCCCCGTGCTGTCGATCGACCGGTTTTCGACCCACGGTTGTTAAAATTTAACTTCTTGTCTGTCAGAAATAACCATGCTCGGATAGCAGGGATCATCGATAACTTTCCATCTGTCAAATTTTAACCAAAGTTTAAATAATCCACCAAATGGTTCAGAGCCTAAACAGCGGGAAAACGAAAGAGTTTAAAAATTCACTGAGCCTTACATATGTACATCTCATTGATGGATTTTCAGTAGGCCAATTTGGCAGCACATCCCGCCCCTACGAAGAGGAGCAAGAAAACGGTAGCTGTCAAAAGCCGTTGTTTTAGTTTTGTTTTTGTTGGAAAAAAAAACATTATAAAAATTAAGAAAAACACAGGTAAAGCCGAACAATTATTATTAATTTAGATTATTAATTAAGGAAAAACTCACAATTTTACCATTGCCGAACTCTTGGTCAAGGACCAGTCATCAAGACCAAGCCCTAAATGGACCAAGATTCCGTGCTCAGTCAAAAGGAGATTTATTACATCTTTTTCGGAAGCAGAGGCAGAAGCAGCTGAAATGTCCGGTCATACGGAATCAGACGCTCAACAGCTACCACCTTCAAAGAAATTGAAAACTTTGAATAGCATGCTTGTGTTTTGAGGAGTGACTAATGAAGTTCTCGGATCAGATGGCAGATCGGCATCACCATAATGTGTTTTTATTACTCTTAATATTCCTTTTAAGCCCTGCTGTGAAATATTATGCTCGATTGCCCATTTTCGTAGCGCTTCTCTAGAGTTCTCAGTGACTTCTGTAGAACTTTGATTGTCCAGGTGACAATTGTCTAGTTTGTTCAACTCCAAATCGTTAAGATCTTTGCCATCAGTTGAGAATGATTTAAGCGCGGATTCATCATCATCTTCATATAACATTGTCGATGTGGATTGCTCCCGAATGCTTTCCGAACATGAAGGACCTGAAGATGTATTTACAATTTAAGATTAACTAGCATTGATAAAATCAGATAAATTAGAAAAAAAAAATAACTTGGATACGTACGTACGTTGAATTGTTGGCTGGTGCACGGGATCAGGAATTTTTCTAGCAGTTCCGGATCAGCAGATGATGATTGATATTTGTAAGTATCAGAAAACATACCTTTTAAAAACATCTCACATTTTTTTTAGGCTTTTTTTATGTAGTATGTTCAATATTTTTTTAGCTGTTGCACAGGCTCTCTGTTCATTTTCATTCTCATAACTGTTACAAATCTCCTCAGTAGGACCGAAATTGTAAACATTTTGCTGTCATTTAGAATGGCTTAATTAAAGTATCTGGCAATTTGTAAAGACGCTTAAGCAACTCTTCGGCAGCCTTATAAAAGTATTGCTTACATGACTAATTAGAAGTGTACTGTTTAGTTGGAAATTCTTCTATTAAGCTTGTTTACCAGCTTTGAGCTGAAGGCCGATTTAAATAACTTGAAGTAGCTTATATACCGTTTAATCAAATGTCAATTTAGCTTTTACTTTATTCAGCCTTTAGCACTTTCAACCAACCAATAATCAGCCATTTCTCTCACAATACAAGTACACTTTTAAAATGGATTGGATCATACTTGACAGAAAGAATACAGATGGTCCACTTTAAAGGAAAATTGTCCTCGCCAGTTAATGTTACCTCGGGAGTTCCACAGGGATCTCATTTAGGTCCTTTATTATTTATTTTATTTGTGGTTGACGTGAAGTTTGTGTTGAATCGCTTAAATGTGCTCATATATGCTGACGATATGAAACTGTACATGGAAATCTTTAACAATTCTGATTTGCTATATTTTAAAAATGAAATTGATGTTTTCTACAATTGGTGCGTTAAAAGTCTGCTGGATATTAATGTTAAAAAATGCAATATTATATCATATTCCAGAAAACACACTACTCTATATTTTACATGTACTCTAGGAAACCAGCTGGTTGTAAGGTGCGATAAAATTAGGGACTTAGGAGTAATTCTTGACTCGAAGTTGACATTTGTAGATCATGTGAATACCACAATTCACAAAGCAAATAATATGTTGGGATTCATAAAAAGATTAAGTTATCATTTTAAAGACCCATATACCATCAAAACACTTTATATAGCTACCATGAAACTTATATAAATCGTATAGAATCAGTTCAAAAACAGTTTTTGTTATTTGCTCTTAGGAAACTAGGCTGGACATCTTTTCCCCTTCCTTCTTATGAGTCCCGTTGCATGTTGATAAACATTGAAACACTTAAGAAACGAAGAGAAATTTCCATGATTTCCTTTGTCAATGATATTATCTCACAACGCGTAAATTCAGAAAAAATATTAGCAAGATTAAATTTTTACGTACCATCACGCATGTTAAGAACTCGAAATGTATTTAAACTGTCACCTCACAGAATGAATGATGGTAAAAATGGACCAATCAATAGAATGATGCGAGTGTATAATAATTATTGTGAGCGTTTAGATCTAACGGTGTCTAAAGATACAGTAAGGAGAACACTAACTGCTAGGATTTCATCTCGTTAAGTTTAAAACAATTTTTATTTCTTAGATATTTGTATATGCAGTCTACATTATTGAAAATTTCAAATGAAACGTATGTATTAAAATAGCATGTAAGGCAACAGCACTATTGTAAAACGGTCTACACTGATTGACGACAAATAAATAAATAAATTATGGAGACATGCAATAGAACGTGCATCAATTCCCAAAATTTCGCCATGGCAATAATTCAAACATTTCTAATTACCGCCTCATCACAACCGCGTCAAAACGTGGCCAGAATCCTAATGGTGCGTATTCGTGAACCCTGAAGGAACCGCACCAGTAGTAATCAAAATGGTTTCTGTTGACACAACCAGTCATGCTGAAGGGAACGTGCCAGCGCCTTTTTCCTGGGATAAGTGAGCAAGCATTTCCCATTAGCAATGTGCATAAAAACAAAAAAAAAACTGAGCTTCACTTTTCTCAAACGAGCTTAATTACTTGCCGAAAATAGATTAGCTTTCAGCAATACGTAATAGGCATCAATAAACCCGAAGAAAAGCTACATTTTCCAGCTGTTTCACGCTCGTAACATTTTCCATTATCTCTCAGTTGACGACGAAAAAAAAAATGGTACCACCAACACCAATGTCGGACTTTCAACATTTGCAACTGCCTGCCGAAACACGAACAAATTCTAAGCAGACAGCGACGGCACCGAGGTGGAAACATCTGGCTCTAGGCGTGAAAAATTCCGATTTTCCGGGGGTTCCATTTCGGTTTTGGACGTTCGATCTCTTTGGCTATTAAAAATTTATTCATCGGAATTCAGGTATGGCTAATTTCGGGCATATGGCCTCCCGTTCTGTTCTTTCCGGGCCATGTGCCGGGATGGTCTTCTTGCGTACAGAAGTAGTACGATAGTAGGTCTCCGGGACATACCCAAAGACGACGATGATAGTGGTGGTGAAGGAGGTGTAAAGGACCTCTCCCTTTCAGGAGGAATTCTCCTCGCTTATCGGCTGGTCTTTCTTAT